AACATAGAAACAAGAGTAAAGGAACACTTGTACTTTCATGTGCTGCCTCATTTGTTTCCCTCACTATATAATGGACGTAAATACCATTAACAGTCAAAGGTGGGTATATCACTCTTGTTATTGTATGAAAAGCTGATCATAACTGATCTTGTCTTTCAAGGAAATGGTTAGAATTTATATGATGTAAGATATTTACGTTTTCTGAATTGCTAACAACACTGTATATATATTGACAAAAGAAATGAAGTACGTACAAAATGGTTTTAATAAGTATGTCTAAACCTACAAAACTAAAGCTGCTTCCAATAAAAGGATAAGGTGTTAGTCCAGGGATGCGCCGCTTCTTGAAATAATCATAGTTCCAGGGTGCATATCTGTAGAATAAATTCAACCAAGATAATTTAACTTTTAACGTTCGGAAGATAACGTGAGAAGAAAAGAAGTTTAACGCAATATTCAAGACGAGAGTGTTACATGCATACAAGTGAGTGTTTGCAATACCATGCCACAATTTGACATGGGTGTCCCACTCAGTTACAGTCCTGCCTCAATATCAGGGAAACTACCACCATCGTTTCACTTGTTTTGGTGTGACGGATGATATGTCAACCTTACCACGCATGTGGTTTCTATAGGCATTAGACACATTGACACTTTAAAAGGAAAACCAAGTTGTATGGATAGTCAACTTCTTTAGTACTAACACTGTTATCAAGCAAGTTCATCTTTACAACTTCTAGAACGCCTTTCAAAGAAGCTATACGCCGTCTCTCTTTGCATCAGTTGCATGATAGAACTTGGTTTTCCTTCATCTTTACAGCTTCTAAAATGACTCTCAAAGAAGACATTTAAAAGTACTGTCATGATTCGTTCAATATGGGTAGCTTAAGTGTAGAATGTAAATATAAAATGTCTTTGCCAGAAAACTACGACTTTCAACTGAAACAGATTCCATTGAATGTAAGAGGCGAATTAACGGTGAAAATTATTGTGAGTGAGTTTAGTTTTAAGTCACTTTTAGCAATATTCCAGCAATATCACGGCGGGGGACACCAGTAAACATATATATTCATAAACATAAATGTCTCCCCGAGGAGGAGAATAAACAAGGTTCTTTTCAAACTTATTTTTGTCGATTATAATAACGTTGAATGTCGCACTGAATTAGTGAGTGAGTAAGATTAGCAATATTCCAGCGATATCACGGCGGGGGACACCAGTAATGGACTTCGCACATTGTACCCATGTGGGGAATCGAAGCCGGATGTTCAGCGTGTCGAGCGAACGCTTTAACCACTAGGCTACTCCTCCACCGTGAAATATATATGAATAGATACAGGTGATGACACGTGTGATGACAGTAGGTACAGGTGATGACACTTGTAATGACAGTAGGTACAGGTGATAATGTGTTCGAATCTACACCCAAACGTTGCCTCACCCGTAATGTGTTGGTTTGTCTCTGTAAATGGCACAAACTTCTGAATACCCCTTCAAGTTTTGCCATATTTGAATAGATTCAAGTAGTTTTTGTCAACAATATATGCGTATATTCCATCGAAACCCCTCATTCTGAAGACTGTGCAGGGTCCGCTCGGTCGTGTCAGATACTGTAGCTGACTGTAAAGAGTTGCTTCCCTTAGGCCATGAATCTGTGGCCGACGGTCGAATAAAAATGACTCGCCGTGACTATGATTTTACGTTTCTCAGCATGTTCTACATATATCCATGAGGGCTTCACCAAAGGGAGGGGCGGTTGGGTGGCTTAGTGGTTAAAACGTTCGCTCGTCACGCACAAGACCCGGGTTCGATTCCCCACATGGACACAATTAGTGAAGCCCATTTCTGGTGTCCCTCGCCGTGATATTGCTGGAATATTGCTGAAATCTGCGTAAACCAGAACTCACTCACTAACTCAACAAAGAGATAAACATCCATGACCTGAATCACTTCAAACTGACACACACTGATAACAATATATGAAACTCCGATCAAAATGCCGTTAAATTCGAGCGCTTCATCCTCGGAAACTAGGGGTGAGGACTTTGAACCTGCTGTTGACGTAATTAACTTTCCTCAAGCCAAGTGCTTGTGCATACAAATGCCTACTTACGTATATAGCTCAGCACAATGGCCGTCAGTGCCAGAAGGTAAGGTGAGGTGAAATTGGGTTTAACGTCGTGCTTGAGAATATTTCGCTCATATGACGACGTGCATGCGTGTGTATGTGTATGTGCGGCTACTTGTACTAGCCCAGACTGAAGCTGGTTTTATAGTGCTAGCCAACTGAGATACCATGCCGCAGTGAAGCATGAATACCCCACTCAGACACATTATACTGACTCCGAGCCGACCAGTCCTTGTTGTACCCATTAATGCCGAGCGCTAGGCAGGGACCAACAAGTACCATATTTTAACGTCTTTTGGTATGACGCGGTCGGGGATCGAACCTGCGACCTTCCGCTCTCCGGGCGGACGCTCTAACCACTACACCACGGAGGCGGTCAGGGCCAGAAGGAGATACAGTGGGACGTCGACCAGACCCAAGATCTCCATGTTGATGTGAGGCGTTAACCGTGCACGTCCCTCCTAATGAACAAAACGATAAGAACTAAGGGTTGTCCATGCCTTCAGGGCTGCGTTGAAGGGCAGTTGTTTGACTACTTCTTCCAGAACTTTAGACATGAACATCAAATTTGAGACAGGACGATAGTTTTTTAGGCACTGAGAGTCAAGCGTGGTTTTCTTGATGAGTGGTTTGACTACAGCTCGCTTAAAGCAGGATGGTACACATTAACACCTCCCAACCCTACTCTTGGCTTTGTCATTACATTGTTATCTTTGTACACTCATCTAAGTATCTAATTGGCTTCGTAGTTATATTGTTATCTTTGTACATTCTCCCACCTTGCTTTGTGTAAACATGGTTCATCTATACATATTGACTCTGTGCACTGATTCAGCATTCACCTGATGAAGGAGCAAGAATTAGCTCTGAAACGTCGTACAAAGAAGTTATCTATAAAAACGTGTCATGCATTCATGTTCATCAAACTTCTAAAAGTAACATGTGTTATATTTGGGATTACACTTTCTTAGTAAAGTACAAATTCTAGTACTTTTTTTTTTCTTTTTTTTTTTAGTTGAGCCCCATCCGGGATTCGAACTCACACCCTCAGAGTCAGGCACCCAATCGCCAGCACACAAAGTCAGCCGCCTAACCCACTCAGCTACCGCGACTTCCACAAAAATGGAAGTCGGACAACTGGTAGTCTAGACTGCGGGCTTTGTGTACCCCTCTGATAAGTGTTAATTGGCACGGCTCCCACGGCTGAAAGCTATGATTACACAATGCCATTTAGAAAGTGGTCAAATGTAACATGTGTTATATTTGGGATTACACTTTCTTAGTAAAGTACAAATTCTAGTACTTCTAAAAGCCTTTCAAGAACGTCATGCAAGTTATTACTTCTCCAGCTCATGATTCCTATAAAAATACTTAGCTTGTTTTTAATCCTGTTTAGTACGTCTGTTTATGACATCTCCTTATCATGACTCCCTAATTAAGACAATCATCTCTTGGCAGGTAATATGTCTGAATTTATAAAAGAAATTCAAATTTCCACCATGGATGAGATGAAGGTGAAAGCAGCGTTTCAAGCACAGCTCTATAAGAGTCATCAAGTGAACAAGCGCGTGCTGATTCCAGTAAATATACATAATAACTGAAAAAAATGGGTAAGTATACATATTTACTGATTATACATATTTACTGATTATACATATTTACTGTTAGTCACTAGTATCAATCAATGATGCGTTTCTTACTATCCGTCAATGATGGGCCTGTCATAGGTCAAAACAAGACTGCCCATGAATGTCACATTCAGGTATATAATAACCAACTTGATAGTTCCTCACTCATGCTTGACAACGGTAGAACAGTCTATATCGAAAAGTCGCATCAACAATATACTCATGCCAATAATGGTTGTCACCCCCTTCAATTTTTTTAATTTGGAGAGGGTGTGTGGGGTGGGTGTGTGAGGTGTGTGTGGGGTTGGGGTGGGGAGGGGAGTGACAGCCATTATTGGCATGAGTATATAATGAAGACGTTGTCATCCATGAAGTATCACACATTTCTTATCATTGATCTGAGATTATCTAAGATGTCAATCACACAGATTAATTTTCAAATTGTATCTACTACTTCCGATCTAAGTAAATAAATGATGGCCACTTCAGCTATTTGGTCAATAGTTCCAAAGTCAAATTTCTATATTATTATGTCGTCAAGCAATATCTGAAACATCTCCAACAGACTACACGCTTGTTGTGTTTGGATAATTGTATTGATGTATTTTGAACATGTACTATTAAAATTTGTGCAATTTCATTTTTAAGGTGGTAAAGTTTCTTTGGCAGTCAGTTTCCTACTCGTCACAATGCCTGGCTGAATGCTGCATGTTACAGTGTGTAACTAATAGTAACATATGTGACAGTGTATTAACCATACACCTGGGTTTAATTAAATTGTAAAGGGCGAAGGTTTGTAAACACAGAGATGAGGAGTTCAGCTGATTAAAGCATTGTTAAAACGAACTCACTCAATGGTTTGTAGAAGCTGAAGATGTTTTACGCCGCTTATAACTATATTCTAAGAATATCACGGCAGGACACGCTAGAAATGGGCTTAACACATTGCACCCATGTGGGAAATCGAACCTGGGTCTTCGTCGCGAACGCCTTAACCACTGGGCTACCCCCGCGGTCTGGTAATGATTCAGTGATATTTGCAATGTGTCGGTGGGTTAGTGAGTATGATATCACTGCGGGGGACACCAGAAATGGGCATCATACATTGTGCCCATGTGGGGACTCGAACCCGGGTTTCAGCATGACGATCAGGCTACCCCACCGCCCTAATGTTTCGGCGAAATCATAATGCTGAATGAATACTTTCCTTCTACAGTTTAGTTTAGAAGAATGAAAACAATGCAAAGCGTCAGATGTTTTATTACGAAAATAGATATAAAAGGAAAGGATATAGAAAGAAAAGAATATAACATAAAGATTTGCAATATCGATATAAGCAGAAGGAGATCTAAGGTAGTTACTATCACATGCATAAGAGTGACAAAACATTCTGTTTGCGACAGTATCAATACGGGCCCGATAAAGAGAACCTTCTTCTGGTGTATCTTATATTCTAAACCTAATTGACATTATTAACAAAATCTTTGCGCTCACAAATATGAATTAGACAACTCTTAAAAAACTAAGTTGTCAGTGAATACATATTTTCTAAATTAATGTGTAATAATGAGTATTTTCTAAATTAATGTGTAAGAATGTGTACGAAACTGTCAACTGTTCAGGTGATATAAGAACAGTTTTCGTATAGATATTTTGTGCTACCAGTCGCTATCATGTCTTTTTAAGCGTGGAGGTCCTTCTTGGATTCGAAGCGATTACGGTGGGACACAAAGCGGACGATGAGCACAAGGCAAAGGATGAGGAGTGTGAAGATAACCATTCCCATGGCAACCATGGCAGCAGTTGTCTGTCCAGTTATCTGACAGTTGCTGTTTGTCAGTCCAGTTTGACCTGAAAAGATTGAAGAATTACATGAGTTGTTTAATGCAAGGTGCCGATGTACTGAGCGTCATTAGACGATAAATGAGTTCCTGGAAAACTATAGAAACATTTAAACCGTTTAAATTAAACCGTCAAGACCCGGATTAGAATGGATGGTCAACAACCCATGCTTGTCGCAAGGCTCGCTGTCTTGGTTGACACATGTCATCGAGTCCCAATTGTGAAGATAAATACTCATGCTGTTGATCACTGGATTGTCTGGTCCAGACTCGATTATTTACAGACCGACGCCATACAGCTGGAATATTGTTGAGTGTGGCGTTAAACAACAAACCATCCTTACAACCGTTGGTTGAACAACTTTCAACCAATCAATTTGACTTTAATGTCAATAAAATATGTTAATAAGATAGTTGTAAAATCATTTCTAAACATAACATCCTTACCGTCTTGTCCGAAAGACCGGGGGTCTCGCACGGTGATGATTCTAGTGATGCTTTTCTCACCAGCACTAGCCTCTCGTTTCTTTCGGCCAAAGCCAAAAGTATCACCACCGTTACACGTTTCCTGAAATCGATGTTGTTTTTGTTTACAGCATGATAAAAAGAACATATTTGTCCAAAAAATATAATCCAGTGGAAAGGGATTATATATATATATATACTACTACTCACAAGTTATATGGCAGGACAGACTGTAATTTGAAAGAAATGGGTGTTCTTTGAAATCTTTGGATAAGTATAAATTAGGCGCTTCGCAAGGTTCCATCTGTATTTGGGTCACCAGCACGACGTACTTGAATGATACATTAAACATTTCTTGTAAAATCCAATTTCCTTAATAAATGGTATACAATAAAACCAATGGATACTTCTGGCATTTTCATAACATCTCAATCGTAAGAGTTAAAAAAGAAACAAAATTATTCAGTAAAACATGGTGCACACAAAGCAGCAAGAATGTAAGAATCCACATTTTTGGACGCAAATCACGTGATTGTGTGACGTCATACCATCGAGTCGGAACCAACACAAAACACCAACTGGTGCCATGGTTGCGGGATCAACCAGGACGGTACATTTCAAGAAATCAGTTGATAGTCCCGGAGTTATAGTGACATTATTGAACGAACACGGATATGACTCAAAGGCGGATCCAGAGGGTGTGTGTGTGTTTGTGTGTGTGTGCAAGGGTGCGCACCCCAAGCCCCATCCCCCATCCCCATCCCCCACCCCTTTTGGGCTGGAAGTTTGTTAAATGACCATTGAAACTCAGGTGAAAATAAAATGTGTGCACCCCTCCTTTTCTCAATAGTGTGCATCCCCCTTTCTCAAAAAGCTGTCTCTGCCCCTGATGCCATACAGCCATTCCACGTTTTTATCTCCTATGTGGGAACTTTACTCTAGCTATATTATGTATACTTAAAAGGTGATACCGAAAGGAAGGTTTGGAACGGGACACTTTATTAACCATTTTTATAATTCTTAGAAACTTTTCTGTTAAACATTAGAATATTCAGAGGGCAATACTTACAGGGTCGCAGTCTTCATTATTTGCTTCGAGGCACACTTTAACGGTGAACTTGAAACGGACCTCGTCATTGCCATCAAAGCGGAAGGCTTTCAGTTTGAATATTATCTCCCTTCTATTTATTCCGAAATTGTCCCAGGCTGGGGCTTCAACGGAGATGGGATAGGCAGCATTATCCATGCAACTGTTGAATATAACAGAATAAAATTAAGTATCGACATACGTATTATAACTACGAATTAACTTCAATATCTTTTTGTTTATGTATGTATACACCTAAAAGTAAAACTAAATACCAGCCTTGCCCAACCAAAGTGTAGAAAATGGCATGAAAATTCTCTGAAAATCTTATACATGGACCACTGAACATCCGTGACGCCACTTGGGGTTCGCTGAAAAGGTAAGCATGTCCTGCCGTTTCACATGCCATTTAATCAGTGTATCGAAAAAGTAACTACAATCCGACGTCGCACACTAGCACGTGTGTCGGCCGCCTGTAAACGATTCAGTGATTAAATTTAGTTTTACGCCGCATTTAGCAGTATTCCAGTAATATCACGTTGGGGGACGCCGGAAATAGGCTTCTCACATTGTACCCATGTTGAGAATTGAACCCGGTTCTTCGGCGTGACGAGCGAACGCTTTAACCACTAGGCTACCCCACTGCCCCTATACTGGGCGTGATTATAGTGTGTACAAATAGTTTTACGTTTATATCTTCATATACCACCTTCAAAAACACAATGAAGTATATTCTCTTAAATAAATAGGATAACAATGAAAACGTCTCAGATTCTATAATATTTATATCAACGCCCAAAAAGCCGTCGACAATAACACATGGGGTCGATCTGTACCATCACGCAATAATGGAATCCAAACCACTTTAACCTACTATCAGATTATCATGTTACCGAATGCCAAATGCGTAGATCGATGCTCATGATCACTGGATTCTCTGGCCCAGACTTGATTATTTACTGACCGCCGCCATATAGCTTGGATATTGCTGAGTGCGGCGTTAAGCAACAAACAAACAACCATCAGCTAATCAGATCGGAAGACAGCTATCTCCTTGTATGTTTGGCTTACACTGTGATCAATTGTAACATAAATAAATATATTAAACATATTTACGTTGAAAATAAAACTATTTTATTTGATATTAAATCTGACATCATAACCCACGTAGGCTAGGCTAAAGGGACATAAATCTTGGGAGCTTAATTTCCCCAGCCTTCACCACTGGTATAAGGGAGATAACTATACTTATTAAGGTGATAAGGGGCTTGTTTATATTTTGTTAATGGGCTAAAGGGCCTGACAGTACACGGTCACCTTTTGAACCAATACAGACGAAAATAGATCACTTGCTGTGTTATTAGTATAGCTTGCATGTTTTGATAAAGTATGGAAGGTTTAAATGATGAACATTTACTGCACTAAGTAATACCCCTGAGGATTTAATGTAGCATGTCTTCGCTATTTATGATCAACTTTAACATAGTTTCATATACATACCTGGCGGTGACGATATTAAGAGTTTTCAAATCTGTAGTAACTGTGTTGTCAGCGACGGCTGTGACCAACCTTATCGCCTCGTATTCTGCACATTAACAAACGATGTGTAAGCATACCTTTAAATGATTTGTTTACCATACACTTTGAGAAAATATAGATTTAAAGTGAAAGAATTCACAAAGTTCGAGGAGGATAACTCGTATTACTATCCCAGTTCACATTTGGAAAATCTTGACACATGTCATCGAATCCCAACTGCGTTGATTGATGCACATGATGCCGATCACTGGATTATCTAGTCCATACTTGAATATTTACAGACTGCCGTCATATAGCTGGAATATTGCTGAGTGCGGCGTTATTTTGAAACGACTAACAAAACACAGCAGTTGAACAATGACACGTAATAAATCGTGGTAACAGAACCACTCACATGTCGTTTAAGACTAGAAAAGGAAAGGACGTTCGAGGCTGTTAGATCTCATATTCGGATTTACGCAAACCTGGACACTATTAATATCATAATATAATAAAAATCTAATCCCAAATGTTTTATCTTTAGGTACTGAGAAGGTAAACTTGAGCTCAGAGCCCACGTTAATAGGCGTTGTTGAAACGACCGGTGAACCTCCACTCGTCAGTTGCAGCCTCACGGGAGAGAACTCTGTTTCTGCGGATATTTCGTTCAGATTTCCGGTCCTGCGCATAACAACCAATCAATATTATCTCACTAAAAGCCATAGAACAGGCAGCATGAGCACGTCAATAGCTGTAAGTGACGTTACACAAAGTAACGTCGCTATTGCTATATAAAACGTGATTAAAACAACTTTTATCATTTCAAATCTGTCACTATTTTTTACTCTTAGCTCCTTGAGTTTGAATGCCACAAAGTCGTGACATGGTATACATGTCGTAACATAGCCGTGTTTAAATTTAAAGACTGCATTGTATGATCCCATTATTCTGTTCTATTCTGTTTTATTATTGTGTTCTATTATTCTTCAACGGAATGTCAATTTGCTAACTGGGTTGAATCATATCAGTTATTTCAATATTTGACGCGTATAAACGACTCACAGAGCCGTTGGATCAAGCTTGGCGATACCGCTGAATACCAAAGCCTCGGCGAGGTTGAACACACACTTTGCAGTGAAAAGGTCGTCAATGGAGGTCAAGAAATCACTCTCGTATTGAACGACGATAGTGCGTGTGTATTCAGTTTTACCTCCAGTCTGTAAAAATATTGTCTAAGTTTAAGCCTGTATGACTACATATACCACAGATTGAAACATTACTTAACTAACATGATCATCCTGAAACTGAACCACTTTCTGTAATAAAATATTCCCGAGGGCTCACAAACGGAGAATAAATTTAATCATATAAAAATCATTTGATTGTTATAGTTGTGATAGTAGTAGCAGTAGTTGTAAAAGTGTTTCCAGTAGAAGTAGTGGTACTAGTCGTAGAAATAGTAGTAGTAGTGGTAGTGACAGTGGTAGCAGAGTAGTAGTAGAGTAGGAATAATAATAGTAGTAGACGTAGAAGTAGTAGACGTAGCATGATAGTAGTAGACGTAGAAGTAGTAGACGTAGCAGTAGAAGTACACGGAGACGAAGAAATAGTGTTTGGCTATTGTTGCTTAATGCAGCACTTGATAATAAAATATATAGCTTTATGACTACTAAAGGTGAGTAATCTCATCTGGATCAGACAACCATGTGACTGACGTCGATACATGCAGATGGACATGGCAGTCAGAGGGCCTGTCCACCTGGTCCCTTTAGTAGCCTCTTGCGACAAGCATGACTGTAGCAGTAGTAGCGTGGTATTGGTAGCATTTACATTGTAGTAGTCATAGTAGTCGTCAAGTAGTGGTAGTGATAGTAGTAGTAGTGGTGGTAGTGGTGCTTGAAGCAGTAATAGAGTAGTAGTAGCAGTAGTGGTTGTGGTAGAAATAGAAGTAATAGTGATGGTAGCAGAGCCAGGAGAATTAAATATAGTAGACGTAGTAGAAGTAGTAGACGCAGTAGTAGTATAATAGAAGTAGTATAGTAGATGTAGTACTAGTATAGTAGAAGTAGTAGTATAGTAGAAGTAATATAGTAGAAGTAGTATAGTAGAAGTAGTAGTATAGTAGACGTAGTAGTATAGTAGAAGTAGTATAGTAGAAGTAGTAGTATAGTAGAAGTAGTAGTATAGTAAACGTAGTAGTATAGTAGAAGTAGTATATGAGAAGTAGTAGTAGTATAATAGAAGTAGTATAGTAGATGTAGTAGTAGTATAGTAGAAGTAGTAGTATAGAATAAGTAATACAGGGGGAGGAGGATAGTAGAAGTAGTAGTATAGTAGACGTAGTAGTATAGTAGAAGTAGTATAGTAGAAGTAGTAGTATAGTAGACGTAGTAATATAGTAGAAGCAGTACAGTAGACGTAGTAGTAGTGATAGTGGTAGTGATAGCGGTAGTAGAGTAGTAGTAGAGTAGGAGTAGAAATAGTAGTAGACGTAGAAGTAGTAGACGTAGCAGCAGCAGCAGCAGCAGTAGTAGCAGTAGTAGTAGTAGTAGTAGATGGAGACGAAGAAACAGTGTTTGGCTATTGTTGCTTAATGCAGCACTTGATAATAAAATATATAGCTTTATGACTACTAAAGGTGAGTAATCGCATCTGGATCAGACAACCATGTGACTGACGTCGATACATGCAGATGGACATGGCAGTCAGAGGGCCTGTCCACCTGGTCCCTTTAGTCGCCTCTTGCGACAAGCATGACTGTAGCAGTAGTAGCGTGGTATTGGTAGCACTTACATTGTAGTAGTCATAGTAGTCGTCAAGTAGTGGTAGTGAGAGTAGTAGTAGCAGTTGTAGAGTAGTAGTGGTGAGGTGTAGTAGTAGAGTAGAAGTAGTATAGTAAACGTCGAAGTAGTATAGTAGAAGTAGTACTGGCTGGCGATCAGTTATCGCCACTTCCTCGGTATAGCGCATGCGCACATCTAATCCTGTCAATTTCGTTGTTTTTCCGAACGTCATTTCCGAACGATCTTGAATATCCCAAAATATTTCCATGGTAAGTGAACCAAAATTCAAGTCCATCAAGAAATTTAATAGCGGGGTCGGGGGCATGTCACTTGATCCACATAGTGGGGCTGTAACTTTCATAAAACATCCTAAAAAGTTAGACGGACATATAATTACAATTCATTTTAAAGCAATATTCCTCTCAGTTTTTTATTGAATTTCACATAAAAAATTATGTCATATTTTGGTAAATAACATGAACAATTCGGAAGTGGCGATAACTGTTCCTGTTGGTTGTTGGGAAAAACACAATATGTACTACCGCGCTTCCTGTTGACCACGTTATAGAAAACCAAATCGGCAACTGTAAACAAGCAAGATACATCGATGAATAGCTAATCTTTCATCTAGATAACTTTTAATTCATTAGGTTGAGAATCTACAGAGGAAATCGCGAAAAACCGCTGAAAATGGCGATAACTGTTCGCCAGCCAGTAGAACAGTAGAAGTACATGTAGTATAGTAGACGTCGTAGTAGTAGATGTCTAGCACCAGAGTAGAGGTAGTAGTATTAGAGCAGTAGAAGCAGTATAGTAGACGGCGAAGTAGTAGATAGTCACCAGCTAAGAGGTGGTAGTAGTATTGAGGCAGTAGAAGTGAGTATAGTAGACGTAGTAGTAGTAGATGTCTAGCACCCGAGTAGAGGCAGTAGTAGTATTAGAGCAGTAGAAGAATTATAGTAGACGTCGTAGTAGTAGCAGATGTCTAGCACCCGAGTAGAGGTAGGTAGTAGTAGTATTAGAGCAGTAGAAGTAGTATAGTAGACGCAGTAGTAGTAGTAGTAGCAGTAGAGTAGACGTGTAGTAGTAGAGAAGAAGCGGTAGTAGTAGTAGAAGTAAAGTAGTAGTAATAGCAGCTGCAGCGTTAGCAGCAGCAGCAGTAGTAGTAGTAGTAGTAGTAGTAGTATCAATACAACGTACGGTCACGCCTACAACGTCTCCACAGGTTGTTCCGGTGTTGTCCAAGTCAAGTGCATATCCCAACCACGTATCTGGAATGCTGTCAGTGGCCGACGCGGGATCTGGGACTTGAGCAAGATTACAGTTTGCATCGGCGCGGTAACCTTGGACGTAGGCATGCCCTGTGAACGACGCTCCAGCTGGGTTCACGCCTATCACCATTTTCCCTGTTTCACACGCCACTGTCACTGGATGTAGATAACATAATAAACATTCACAATTAATAAAAGCAACAAAACCCTTCCCACACCCCGATAGAAACTCTGTTAAAAGCAGAGCCGGTTGTACGATTCAAAAAACATACCGCGAGCATGTGTTAATGAATCGCTGTCAAACAGTGATGTTACCGGAGGTTCACGAACTGATGACCGTATCCTGCCCCAACAGTGCTACCCGTCATAAACTAATGCCCGTTTGAAACTGAACATCGCCCCAATGTAATACATTCTTAACGTCTTTGCAACGGAAACTACTTCGATAAAGGAAGACCCAAAGGTAATATAACTGAGATATTTCAGTTGTTATTGTAACTTCACAACGTCATCGTTTCATATCTGACGACCACTAACCCAATGCTTCACTTACGTCGTTTTTTTGTCACAGTTGGTACCATAGGAATCAGCAGTACAATAGCACAGTGTTGATCCAGCAATGCTGTCGTAGCAGGTACCGTCGGTGCTGCACGGATCCGAAGTCGCACAAGCGCCGGCTCCTTTTTGTGCTAAATGGAACATATTTTCACATTAATATTCACAATCATACAAGACGATGTTAAATGCTAATTTACACCGATTCATGTCAGTCGTAAGATAACGACACATACCCAAGCGTCACGGGGTCAACGGCGTCGAGATACTTCTGAGTTATGCCCCTTAGCCAAGACATGGAAGAAGAAGAAGCATATGAAGATAGGCCAAGTTTTGAGAAACAAATCATCTGGCGTGTACCGCCGCTGCCTAGCTTGGATCAACTCAAATGTGTTCTGTAACCTAATGGGGTTTTGTCAATGAATCCCTGGTGACAAACTCATCATTGCAATATAAACAGCCTTACTGCAATACATGTTTCCAGGGAAATATGAATATTAATACAGAAACCAGGACTCTTAATTCAGAGTTCTAAATTCTTAATTGTTGCTCGCTGTACAATGAGGTCTGGGCTTACTGAGTTGCTAAAGGCGCTGCAAGTCGCTGTAGGTACGCAGTTGCGTTAGTCGATTCTGTGCTCGAATCCCGGTTTGCTTGGATTAGTGTTCCACCACCATACCAGTGCTCGTCAATTTCATTTCGGGCTTTCCTCCCACATTAAGCTGACACGACCTGATATGACTGGAGTACTACCGCTGGTAAACCAAAGTCACTCACTCACTCGTTCTACAAAGTGTACGTGGGTAGCCTCGTGGTTAATGCTCCGACAGTGGACTGTTCCGCTACTGGCCGTAAGTGACATCGTAAATTCAGTATGTGGCGGTGGGGTAGCCTAGTGGTTAAAGCATTCGCTCGTCTAGCCGAATTCGAACATCCGGCTTCGATTCCCAACATGGGTACAATGTGCGAGGCCCATTCCTGGCGATACTGAATATTGCAAAAAGTGGCGTAAAACCCAACTCACTCACTCACTCACTCACTACAAAGTGTAGATAGGCAAAATCAAAGACCACATGAAAGGATAATTCAGAGGTGAAAAGTTACCTGTTTTTAGACCACAGTCGTACCCCTCCCATGGGCTTGTGACGGAAGACAGTCGCAGGTGCTTGAAGTGAAATCACAGGTTGTTGGTGGTGTACAGGATTGCGATGTTCGACGGCAATCAAATGACGCAGCCCCTAGAAATTGGACTTCAGGTTAATACCTTTTCACAAAGACATGACATACTTGACATATAATACGATCTGGTGTTTTGGCAAAACATACACAAGCTTAGTCACTTGCAAGTCACTTTTCAAGATATCTACGCTGGTATATTTTCGGTTATAATCCCAGGTGTGTACTTTCTTTCGCACTTCAGTTTATTTTCAATGACGATGCAAATAATTATTTGAATATGTTTCGCATAAATACTTAATATCTATTCAAAAAGATGTTTCGGAACATACTATTCTGATGGAACTTTAATGTTGAAACATTAATAAATAATTCCAACTTTATCATTACAGTGAAAGGTAGACAATGGCATGGTGATACAGAGAACTCACGCAGATGAGCCAGCAAAGCCACAATACAGAAGGTCAAACTCCTCATCATGCAGATTCCATTGGGACGATCGCCTGGGAAAACAGGGGTAAATATAAAGGAATGGTTCCCAGTGTGCCATTAATCCCGTGAAAGGTTGTTAATGGCCAAGTACATATCTTCAACATGCCTCTGCATGTTACTGACAGATGTTCGTATAAAAAGTAGTTTCATAAACAGTCAAAATATGATTTTTGGCGAACGATTTAACAGAATTATGGTCATATTTTTCTGCATCGGGTAAAATGTGAATCTGGCCATTTGGATGTCCCAACTGTTTTCAGGAGTGTTATCTAAACTCTGTTGTCTGAGACAGGCAATGTTTCCGCCAGACGTTCTGTCAGTACATGTAGCTGCTCTACATGGGGATAAACCCAGTGTGTTTGAAAATCAGTGACATGCTTTACTGAATTGATGGCGACTAAATTTCAATTGGAACCGAACGCGTAGAGGTTCCAATTAAAATATTAGTCACCATCAATTCAGTAAAACATGCTCTCTGATTTTCAAACACACTGGGTTATCTCCGATTCTACCATGACCCATTTAAAATCGAGCTTCCTCGCTCTGCGGCAGACACTGGGTAATCCGGCATGGGACGGGACGAGGCGAATTGAACTCGTCTGTGACGGGAGTGGTAGTGTATTGAGAGACCATATAATATCTACTATATCGTCTCTGGTGGAATTTTTAACATTACAACATAAAAATATTCTGTCCAAAGAAAACAAACTACTGTTTATTCAATGTAATTATGTAATACCGAGAGCTTGTTTGTTTTTATCCGAACTCCACACGATGGAAACCAGCCTACTGTTTTGTGCGCCGTGTTACTGTACCCCCTTGGCCCACTCTATAATGGAATCGTCTGACCTACTTATTTTCTTCGAAGCAGACAGTTACGCAACAGTTTGAAATGGCGGACGAGCCAGTGTTTACATTTTGCGAAAGGTTGAAATTCAAGTGACAGTGGACAATACTTGACTAACTGTCGAATCTGAACCCTGCAGAATCGAAGAATAGATCCTTTTCCGATCAACCTACGACCTGTAACTCCTGTGATTTTTTATGACCGGCCGATCATGATTTCACGTACGTGCCTCCACCCCTTGGTATGCGACGAAAGAGTGACAGTGTTGCTGCTTACTTGTTTTTTGTAGTGTACATGCGACTAACTTGTGATTCCTTGGAACATTGTTTCATCATTTGGGACTGGATTGTGTCCAAGCTATTTTCGAAGTATACGAACATAACAGTGACAGCCTTGCGGGGAAGCTGGCAGAGAGAGCAGAAATATTTTGTGAACGATGCAACAGGATATGATGGAGTATGAGTGGCATAAATGTGGTGTTTCGCCAGACCGTTATCTTGAGGAATTTCCCATTTCTAAGCAGAAACAAATGAAACATTTGCCAGATAAGTACATTTTACTGAAATGTTGTTTTGCTGCACATTTTGTACAAAGATAGGGATAATATTTTTGCAAGGGCTTTTCCTGATTTATATGTTAGATATTGTTTGTTTATGTTTGGGAGGCAGTTTATTGCTTGGTGAGTTTAAATTTTTTTTTATAATAGAAGAGTAATATGCTGAAGTAGAGGTTCCCTCATCATTGTGTAGGAAAAATCATATTGTTGTATTTTTCGAGTTTAAATAAATGTTTTTATAAGCATTTTGATCCCGTCTGTTGTGTTGATGTTAGTATGTTGATATGGTCAAGCTGGTAGTGCGGCAGTGTTGTATAGTGTTGTGCGCAGTGAAGCGCAATGAAATCAAAACGCATTTTCAATCCAAGAGCGGAACTCCACCAATTGCCTGGAAAATTCCAAAGTCCGCGTCAAAATCCATGGAATTGTTGTTATTATCCGCCATCACTGTGGTTAAACGCATTTTTTAATGCGCGGTGAAGCGGCCTTAAAATCAGATGAGCGTCAATCCAGAACTGATGCCGTCTGATTTTCTGAACAGCCAATCAGAATCTAGTATTTTCCTGATTCATGGTAGGATCATGTACATATCCTTTGTCCTTCATTGTTCCATTTTGTAGGCAATACCGGGAAGCCATCAAATCATCTTTTATTATTATTCACGGTAGATAACTAGCTTTAGATAGCACGGGCGATCGCTATTGGGTCTATATTAACCGTATTTGTTTTGCCTGGCCTGCAATGACCAATGTTTGTCCCCAAAACACGACAGACAATACCGACATACTTAAGCCCTCAACCACATACCACGACAAGAAACTAACATAAGCCCCGAAAGACCAAATGACTTCAAAGCTTAAAAGTACAATACTGCCATATTAGGTAGAGCAGGAAATGTGCCTATGAAATTACACAGAATGCCTTTCGTCAATAATTGATACCTTGTAGATGATGTGGGTGAGCTGGTAGTGGTATTAGTGTCACTACACACAGATAGTACTTATCGACGTTACAATCACCAAGAACAGTGTGTCAGTTGAAGGCATGCGTCGGAGTCAAAGAAAATTTGTTACCTGGTTTAACAAATTTCCGTGAAGCTCAAAGTCCTCATATTACATCGGAAGTTTTCTTAACACGAACACTAGCGTTACCGAAGATTGTTCTGTCATGCGTGAAGAAATCCGACTGAGGGCACTCACACCCACTCCCGCACGCACGCACGCACGCACTACGGATTTTGTATTGTATAACGCAGATGTAAAACACATGATTACGCTATCGATAAACTGCTTTGAGTCCTTTTAATATTTATTCAAGACATGTTCTAGAAGTCACGAAATTCTCGTTTTAAAACCTTTTAGAAAGTCACCTATCTCGTGTCTTAGCAACAAATCCAAATCTGCCTTAATTAGGCCTTTTACACCTCCAGAATCCTGTTCCACTATGCGATCCTAGCACTACGAACATTGCAACTCCATAACAAAGGGATTAAATAACCTTCGTCCGGAAGCTATAATCAATTTGTTGACCTCACCGAACAATGTTTTGTCTGTAGCTCGAGACAAGCGAAGCTCCGACAGTGGACTGTACCGCTAATGATGGTTTGGCCGTAAGTGACATCTTAAACTTTAATTCAGTATGTGGCGGTGGGGTAGCCTAGTGGTTAAAGCCAAATTCGTACATCCGGCTTCGATTCCCCACATGGGTACAATGTGTGGAACCCATTTATGGTGTCCCCCGCCGTGATATTGCTGGAATATTGCTAAAGCGGCGTAAAACTAAACTCACTCACTCACTAATTCAGTGCGACATTCAACGTTATTATAATCGACAAAAATAAGTTTGAAAAGAGCCTTGTTTATTCTCCTCTCAACACCTACCCCTCGGGGAGACATTAATGTTTATGAAGCAAAGTTAAAAGGATACCTCTTTGTATATTCTGTTACTCTGGTGTATTCAAGGTCATATGAAAGACATTTGGAAGACGTTTCTTAAGATTTAGGAAAAGATTTCCGATTTTATATACTTGCATAACGCCCACAGTTTTATCACGGATAATTGGAACCTAATTAGATGACCAATGAGAGGTTGTATATGAAATGACTTGACTTAGTGATTGCACCAGTAGGAACGAATTCTCTGAACGTTTTCTCTCAAGGCGTTGCATGGAAAAACTGTATTATGTGAAGTGATCATCGTATCGGTAATTTTGACATTTCATGGGGTTGAATTTGAGGAGACTCCCAGGGCGTACTGGTCATGGGCTTTTAGATCTTTCGTGAACCATTAATGCACGCTTGAAAACCAAGATTCATAGATTCATTACAAGAGGAAATCTTGGATTCAAACCCAGCTGTACCTGACAGTAAAGGGACACAACTCCACACAAAGAAGGGTAACATCTATAGTGCATTTTGTTATATCATTTTTATAATAATCAAACCGTTCCCGGTTCATTTTATATTCACCTAAAGTCCACTTTCATAATTGTTCTTTTCCTAATTTTGTATCATCACCACATGGCATGGAAAGTTAACAGTTGAGCTGAACCACAGCCGTCATTTATTGACCCTTATATGGTGTAGCAGACATCATGACAGTGCACCATAGAAGCATTTTAGTATACAGATAATGTTTAATGCAATTTGAAAAGTATGTAGATACATGCAAAAATACATACAAAGTAAACAATATTTAATAAGGTAATCTGATAGGTCAATGATGAATTGGTTTAAAAAGCCCAGACAGTACTATATTATGTACAAAAAGCATCAATATATTTTTCATTATGACAACTCTCGCTTTAAACAATGATAATAGTGAATCAGTGAGTGAGTTTAGTTTTACACCGCTTCTAGCAATATTGCAGCAATATCGCGGCAGGGGACACCAGAAACGGGCTTCACACATGGCATCCATGAGGGAATCGAACCTGGGTCTTCGGCTTGACGAGCAAACGTTTACCCATTAGGCTACCCACCACTCCAAACCATGACAATAAATAAAACATTGTCACAAATATAAGTGCGAGTTGGAATATTATTTTTGAAAAGAAGAACACAATTTCTTACCTTTGGCCCTTTGGGCAAGTTCAGGCAGTGTAAGAAGCTGTCGAAAATCTTGGACACTGCTGCAGTTTGTTTCGATTGCGAAGTCCTTTTATACACTCATCTGGAAATGACGACTGTCGTGTTGATAACGTTCTTATTGTCTGTATATTCACCTGGATCGTTGGAATAGAGCAGTAAATAAAGTGGCCAATGAAAATCAACACCGTCGCACCACGTGGGTTATACAAGAACCGCCCACACGCATGTCCAACCCAGAATGGCTGAATTTATATATAGATCCTATATAACCTTAGGCTTCATGTCAACTGTTGGACACAGAACGAGATTATCCAACCACGTATAGTCCTACTAATATATTACACAATATCGTTTTTCCTCTTTTAGTTTGTAACCAGCTCTGTGTGTGATACAAAGATTGTTCTGAGTATCTACTTTGGATGCACGAGCGAAGGTAATAGAATATTACAGGAGCTCTGAGTAGTTTTGAGATTTTACTTTCAGACAGAGAAAACAGACTTAATAGTGAATGGAAGAGTATATTTTATTTGCATGATTTGTCTGTGGGAATACCGGTAATTATACTGTTGTTCCAACTCCCATGAGTCATCCGTAACGACATTACGTCAGAATATTGTTTATTAGTATACTTTCCTGTACACACAAGTATGAAGGTCTGAATCGAACCTTTAAAGCATGTAAATCCCTGTGCGTGTATTAATGCGTCTTTTAAGTAGACTATAGCACAAATGTGATGCAATCTTGGCGTAGATAAGTGTGTTTGTGTTGTTGATAGCCACAGGGTAGTGCACCTTCTGGAAACATCCGTCATAATACACCGACAATCATCTTCAATACTCAAACTCTTTTGTCATTGTCTGACAAAGAGGCCGGAAAAGTTATTAAACACAACTGTCGGTTACGCGGCTTGATATGAATCATATTGTACCAGGGATACAAGATGGGGTAGGGAGGGTGCTGCGTCAAACAGCGTGACACAGGTTTTGTTTACGTGACTCGCTCGAGCCACGTATATCATTTAGAGATATAATACTTTGGCAATAGTATTATACCTGGAAGACCATGAGCCTTATTGTTTAAACATGTAAAAATCATTGTAGAACGTAAATACCAGCTGGTTGATAAACATTTTTGTAACTGGACTTGGATCCATGCATACGAACTCCCCTAACCCTATAGTATTTAGGAATATTATTCTCATATTTTAAAATTTTATGTCAAAATATAAGTTGTTTATCGTTTTTAGTACTGATTTCAGTTTTGAAGCCTATCATTATTTTTCCCCTCTGGGTGATAGGGTCCACCCACTGGAGAGTTCTACTATCCTAAACCACGACAGGATGTTATTCACTAATCTCCACAGCTGTTGCAGTGCGAATTACTCAGGGCGTAGCATTTACATTATGCTCTCTATAAATTCCGCCTTCATCGGCGCTTCAGCAGACTGATCTTCAATCACTCTATGATCAACTCCCGAAGCCCTGTGTTATTATGAGTGAAGTTCCTAAACGGTCGCACTACCTCCGCCTTGGGGCAGTACTAAACACTCAATGCAAAGATGTATTGTAATTTGAAGATTTCGACACCACTAATGACCTATGAAGTCTATATATAATGCTGATTCGGCACTTTGTCTGCATCCTGCAACTGAGCACTTAATTCTTCTCTGGATTTTGCATCTCTTACCAGATTTTAAACCTACTAAAATGTATTTGATTGGATAAATTTCCTAATGACGCTTGTAGAAGTGACCACTTCCTGAATCATTATCCTTCTCGGAAATAACTCCATCTGATTTACTCCATTTCCCGAGATGGAACTTCTTCCGAAGGTTAACTGATCTCTATCATCAAGCTATTTGTAAATCAGAACTGCGGGAACTGAATGTTTCAATGATATAAACTAGATCCCATTCAAACGAAGCTGGGACGTTTTAAATGCAGGAAAATGAAAGGCTGAATTCACGCACCATCCCTTTACGACTCCACACATGTAAGTAAACCATGGTTTAATGCAGATTGTAGACGCTTGTGCAGAAAGCGAGGGAAAAGCGGCGAAGATTATTTCCGCCATCATCCAACTATCCATGGCTTAAATAAATTTAAAATACTCAATGCAAAGGCGGCGTCGTATCTTCAAACCAAAGGCAAAGGCGGAATCGACGGAATTATATACTTCAAAAATTGGTCTTCAGGTACGCCCGGCATCGAGGTAAGGAACGGCGGACGAAAGAATTTCAAAGGCAAAGGTTCTAAAAATCTGCTGTTCATCATCTCCAAAGATGGTGATGTTTTGATTACTGACAAATCTAAAAATGCAAATATGATTGGTGAAGTTCTCCATCGGCAGAATATATGTCTACTGAGCTCTCGAAATCTCCAGAAACAACCGGAAAAGACAGAACTTTAACTTTGGATCAGATGTAGGTGGAAAAACTATAATGAACTGTTTTCATTACATGGAGCTATATACAACTCTTGAGTGCTTTCCATGCTTGCTGCAGCGGCTGATGACAATATTCATTATCAGCTACTGGTATACTTGACCATCGTCAGATTCTGGACGTTGCGTGTATCTGGCAACTGTGTCTGTAGAACGCAGGAAAGGATGGTGAATAATAGATTAATTTGGTAGCATCTTGAAACCAATAATCCTATATAATAAATATCCAATGTGGTTTCAGGGAAAAAAATCGTAGTACCATTGATCATTTGGTACCGGTTTAGAATCCCTTTGTTAAAAAATGCACAGTTAACCAAACAACATGCTGCATCGTATCAATTTCTTTGATCCTTGAGAAAGCCATGGGTACGACCTGGAAGCATGGCATCTTTTGAAAGATTTACATGAGTTGAGTTTAAGAGGCCGTTTGCCTCTTTTATATCACATAAAAAAGGCGTGACGAATTTCAAGTCGGAGAGGGTCTTCAGCCATGTCTGATCATTGCTAATATCAGGATCAGGGTGTCCTTCAAAGACAGTATTTCATTCGTCACATAACTTAGCATCAAGATCAATAGTTTCATCAGAGGTTTTCAATGAATTCGATTGATGGATGGATTATTATTTGTGGATAGTTTTGAAATCGTTCTTGTCGTAGCTGAAATATACAAACCATTGAGACGGCAACTGCAAAGCTATGAAACTGGCAGATGAACAATTCATCAGAAGAAGACATATATATCCCCGGGCTCCCCCACATTATTTGAAAGAACAAATCAATATCCGGACGAGTTGCCTAAAGTCCAGCTTGATTTTTGGAAGGACTGAAGTCCAAATCGTTTCAACGGAAACCGGGAAAACAAAATCACACAAAATCTATGAATAGCAAAGAAGGGCACCACTTTGGGATCTCGCCTCCCTACATATCCGCTAAGTGCCTTTTGGTTGAAAGATATTATAGAGAAGTTGAGTTATGCTCCTAAGAAAAAAGAAGCCCACCCCTCCATTTTAGGACTTAATCCAGATAGCTCTTACGGAAACTGGGAAAACATATAAATGACAAAACTCTGTAAATAGCAAAAGGCACCCACAGTAGGGGATCTGTTTGGCGATACATCTACCAATTTTTATTGGGAAATATTAGACGGTTTTGACATATGCTCTGAAAACAAAACGGTTTCGTGGACGGACGGATGAAGGAGGCGTCGACTAATAAATGAGTAATCTTGCAGGCGGTTTTAAATAGAAAACCTACTTGCATACATTGCCTGCGAAATAAAAACGGCTAAAGATCCTGAACTATGATTGCCTGAAGGCGCTCGATTTATAAAGAGACGTTTCTGAATTAGAAGTGGGAGGGATCATTTTAGCCGCTATCACTTAGATCATAGATTGCTGCGCTTGCTTAAGAACAAAATTTATATATCGTATAGCGATCTGGCTTTCGTAATTTTTATAATATCCACCACTAAGGCTCTTAAGACTTTGTGTTAACTTTTAGAATATCCTGTTGACAGTCTCTCGCAATGGTGAGGCAGGCGAGTGAATTGTATGTAACCAACGTCGTATCAAATTATCATTACAGTATATAACAAAACTCTATTCTAACGTGTCTAACTCTGCATTTTAACTGTGTTTTCAACTCCTCTTTATGAGGACTCTGTACAACAAAAAGTCTTCTCTATTCCGCCTCTTCGGGCGCAGTAGTTCAATCCTGATCTGGCTTCTGCTGCCGGCATTGAGCTGCAGTAAATATATCTCATACCCCTCTTCTTCTTCTCCTCCTTCTTGGCAACTGGTGAGGCCTGAAGTTGGCCTAACTCTGACAAAGTACATGTATAAGAAATCAGAAACCAATGAATTTACAATATAAAAAGAATACAATCAATTAAGAATTAAATATAATGCACACATGCAAATCCGCTGTTTACAGGTGGAGTCCAAAGGATGATTTGCAAGTGGCGGCATGTGCCACTGTCATTGGATCCAGGAGACATATCTTCACCGAATACCGGATACCGGCAATATTTTTACAACAGCAGAACCTAATGCCACAACGCCACGGCTCTTTAAATATACTTGTTTCTTACAAAAAAGAAACTGTGCATTTTATCAAAATATTATCCCCGGTTTCATAAGTACCCTAGCAATGTCAAAGTGCATGAAACTTTAATGGAGGATCATGGGGACCATAACAAGGCCAAGGCAGTAAGTCAACGTTGTGAGTGTTGCAAAATCCACATAGCAACCCTTGCCGTATGCGGGCGGCATTGTCCTGTTGGAATAGTAACCTGTGGGTCATGACGTTGCAGAAAAGGAATTTCTGCTACAGGTCGAAGAATCGGATCCATGTAGCCCACACCGGAAGCTAAGTTGTCCTGAACAATCACTCAAAAGAGTTCGCGAAAACATTTGTTATTCCACCCTAAATCATTAATGGAACTACCCACGAAAGCGATTCCTCTCCAAGGACACGGAGAGCCTGTACATAACGTTCTCCCACGCGTCTATAGGTACGTTGACGTCCATCACTATATGGGAACTGTTAAACCTGAC